AGGGTGCACGCAGGGCATCACCAGCCCCTTCTGGGGGGCATCCCTAAGCTCACGGAGCAGAGCAGCATCAGAGGAGTTTCTGCCTCCCGGGTGGTCCCTGGTCAGTGCGGACTCAAGCGTGGGCTTGACATGGTGCGGTGGAAGTCAGCATCAACCGGTCTGTGCGGGAGCAGCTCACGCTCGGAGGAGCGGGTGAGCGAAGGGCACACGGTGCCGTCACCTGTGTCACTGTGTCCCACCTGCCACCCCGGAGCTCGAACAGAGCTCAGCAGGTGACAGTAAGAGATAAGGATCATTTAAATAGCCAGGAAGCATTACCCAAGGATGGGCAGCACAAAGCTTAATGGGCAATTAGCACTGGCCCTAACCAAAGCCTGCTCCAATCAGCACTGTCAGCTTAATGAACGAGAGCAGAAAAGGGGGGACAGAGAGCAGGGGAGACATGAAAACGCAGTGCTGGTGGAAAAAGCTTGTGCTGTGCTCCCCACCCGGCCCCAGCCAGCGCAGCAAGGGACCGGCATGGGCAAGAAAAGGATGGAGTGCACAGAGCCATCCCCTCCCTGGGGCTGCAGCAGGGGAAGCCCTTACCCAGCGGATAGATCTGATTTAAATTAACCCCCTGGGCAGGCTGAAGCCGTGGGAGAGGTTAGGACTGTTTGAGATTTGTGGATTGGGGGAGATTCGCTGCAGTAGGGCCCAGGGCTACGTGGAAGTCGGTGCTTAACCTGGAAGGGACCCGCTGAGCTCTCTGATCCTGGGGGCCGCTGGAGCGGCAGTCAGGAAAACAGCTTTATTTGCGAGCAACGAAACCGGATCTGGAGGCACCGGGTGATGATAACCACATGCAGCCCCGGAGGCTATTTTTTCCACGGTCGTTTTTCAGAGCAGAGACACATTTTCGCATTGTTTCTATCTCTTGAGTGTAAACAACTCCCTTGCCAAAGACCTTCGTCCCTTTCCCCCGGCCACGGCAGCTGTGTCTCCAGGCCGCCCGGTGTCTGCAGAGCGGCAAAGTTCAGCTGCAGCAGCTTTCCAAGAAAGCAACACCAAAGCCATCCCTCCTCCCCCAGATTCCTTCTCTCCCAACAGCTCAGAGGAAACATCCTAAGCATTTTGCACAGGGTTTTATGGCTGTGCTGTTGCTTCTATTTTTAAATCAAGGGGGAAAAGACTTGGAGGTATTTATAAATAAAGGCTGCATGAAAACCAGCCTCTTTATCCAGAGCACTGTGCAGAGTGATAACTGCACTTCTTTTATATAAAAAAGCCATGGAGATCACGGGTGCATGGGAACACCCCTCCCTGCCCACCACTTCCACACGGCGCAGCCATAAACCAGAACAAACCAACCCAAAATGACCCCAAACCAAACCCCTGCGACTACAACTGCAAAGAGCCAGCAGCAGCCGGTGGCGCAAACCTTGGTGAGCCCGCGGCTCGGCGGAGGGACCTGGCGCGAGCAGGGAGCACGCGCTGGCGTCTCTGGACACGAGGCTTGTTGGGGATACGGAGTCAGGTGATTACTGTATTCCTGGCCCAGCCTCTAGCCACAAGCAAATCTTTCAGGCTTTCTACCTCCTTGCCTTATGGCAAGTTGCAACACAGCAGACGTTTCATTTACCGTGACCTTCTGGAACCAAGTAGTTTATAAAACATCATCTCAGGACCGGCTCTTTCATGTAACACAACCACATCACGAGCCAGATAACCTTCTGTCCAGCACACAGATAATACAGTTTGGGTGAAAGAGGTACCCCTGTCTACAGCATGCCTGATGCTGGTGGCTACCTGGCATCTCCTCTACCTGAATCCTTCCCAACCCCTCTTCTCTGCAGGGTAACAAAGACAGCAGTGCTTTTCCACCAGCAACTGTTGAAGAAGGACTTTTGAAGCCACCCCAGATAACCCAGATACGTAAGTCCCACCAGCATCTTATCTAACGGCATGCATCTGAGGTGTCCGCGCGAGAGCAACTGCCGTGGTTTTCCCACACGCGATGAAGACCAACCATTTGCTGAAGCCAGGATCATGGCTTGGAGCATCTCCGTGTCAAACTGGTTGTTCGGCCAGGCTCCACCTTCCTCTCCATTCTGGGAGCTATGGGAAAAGAAATAAAAAACAGCAAGTTACTGCAGCTCGGTCAGGAGGAGTGGGCTTGTCAGAGAGCATGAGAAGCCAAGGCTGCGGGCTTGTTTGCTGGTGAAGAGGTGTTTGCAGGCTTTAAATCCTTCTATTAAATAATACTCAAAAGTCAAGACACTTTCAGAGGTCTCCATCCCTCTCCAGGCTTTTGAAGAATAACCACTTGGGGTTAAAGCACCTGGGGTCTCAGTGGTGCTTCCAAGCAACACCTGCCTAACTCCTGCTGACTTCAGAGACAGCCAGCACCTCATCACCTCAAAATCCCACCAATGTAATATAATACCACGGAAAATGCTGGTCCTAAAGTCCCAGAGGTGCATGCACCCTTGTACGACCAGGTCCTCTGTTCCTTTGGCAGGCCATGTGAGTGGATGCACCTTTCAAGCTATTTCAGGCTACAACTCCATTCTGCAGCTTCATTCGTAAGACAGAGGGTGAGAAAACTCTGTGGTGTGGTGGGCTTTGGGATCAGCATGGAGCCAGCTGCCTGGCACTGCAAAACCTGCTCTGAAGGGAGGCCAAGAGCAGCTGCCAGCTCTGCAGAGGCGGCAGCAAACAGTCCTGGGGAGGCTGGAGCAATGGGGAGAGGAGAAAAGGGAGGTGGGCACCCATCTTGGTTCCCCAGGACTGGCTGATGGAGCGGTTGGGCACCACAGATCCGCCTGGGAAACCTCAGGGAATGCTACCAGGCTTTGATTAGGGAGAGTTTGTGACCGAGATAACTATCAGCAGTCTGTGCGCAGTCTGACAAGCCCCGCATTCATGTTTGCCAAGTGCCAGCTGTGCTCGGCCACTTCTCACTAGCAGCAGCACTTCCCCTCCGGAGAGGTCAGGGCTGTGCTCCCAGAGCCCCTCCAGAGCCTCCCTGCTTCCAGCAGAGAGACCTAAACATCTCACCAGCTTCCTGGGTCCTCCTCTGCTCTGACCTTAAGTGACCACATCACTCAGACTGCCAGTCTCCCCTCTCCCAGCTGAGTGCTCTGACCACCCGCAGCTCTCGCTGCCCACTGGGATGCCAGCTGCCCCTTGGCTGTGTGCTGGCTTGCCTGGGGCGAGGGCTGCCCTGCTCTTGCAGCTGGAAGCTCTCCAGAAGCGAGATGGGAGATTTGAAAGCCCTTCCCCTTGGAGAGAGCTGAGCCTGTTTCTCAGGCAAGCGTTCAAACCACCAGGCTGCAATGCACGGAGGTGGCCTCCTCCTCTACCACTGTGGTCCCAGCCCTTGCACCCAGGAGCTGCCAGCCCCCGAAGCCCTGGTCAGACCCAGAAGCCCTGCTCAGACATGCTCAAGCAGCCGAGATCTTCCCCAGCTCTGGGGTCTCCTGCCAGCAGCTCCGTGCTTGAGCACCCGGCAGCCCGCGCACTGCAAATGCCAGCGCAGGCACTGCCGGTGCCAACTCAACGCCGCATGCTGGGTGGCAGATGGGCTCTTTGCCACCCTGCTGAGCAAACCACTGCCCAAGTGACCCCGACGGTTGCACCCGCTGCAGCCCTCACACACAGGACAAGCTCAATATGGCCATTTCGGAAATGGGATGGACCCACAGGCACGTCCTTGAAGGTGGTATGTGCCACGATGACCTTGTAGTGCGAGCAGGTCCTGTGTCTAGGTCAGTGCCCCAGCTGCAATAAAGCTCTGCAAGGAGGGAAGCCCTGAATGCACAAGAGCTTTCTCCATCCTGCCTGTGCAAATGTCCTGCACACAGAAAGAAAAACTGCAGATGCACGGGATAGATAAGAGTGCCCGTGAGCTCTGATCAGGCCCCACATGCTCCTGCTCGGTCACACAGCTTGGTACGGACCCAGTGAGGGGTATATATGGGCAAACTCCCTTTGAAATACAAGATCTGAGTGTAAGGATGCATGTATGGACACTCCCAGGTACTCTGCTGAAAATCTGGTCTTAAGCAACCTGCCCAAAGACACGCAGGACCTGTGCCGGGACCACACGACCATCCATCCCTTCCCCTTCTGTACCGCCTGCCTGATCCATCCCCAGCCAGGTGCAGGGCACTGCTCTCACACCGGTTTATTTGTGGAGGATGCAAACAATCACTAATGTAGCAGAGGCTGCCCCAGCACGACACTGCCAACAGCACCGCTTCTGAAATACCTGCTGACCGCTGCAACCCAGGGCATTCCGAAAACTATTTATATCGCTCCTCCGCGACATGTGTGGTGGCACAGCTTCAAGAAGGCCAGAAGCGAGGCTTGCCCACCTCGCAAATTGATTTCAGCACTGGCATGATGGCTGTGCTGAGACTCCTCGGACGTGGGTACTGCTGCCCTGCACTCGGTGTTGTGCCAGCGAGCGGCGGTGCAGGCAGTCCAGGCAGCGAGGACAAAGCGGGGACAGCCCTGGGGCTGCAGTGACCCGTTAATGTCACAAGCAGGGCTGGGAATAGAGCCCTGGGATAGATCCAATAAAGGACTTAGGAAGCTAAACCCCATTGCAAACCACAACCCTTTCGGCCACCAGTTAACCCCGGCAGCTCCTGCCCCACCAGCTGGCAGCTGAGGTTCCCAGGTTTTTCAGGGCTGCAGGAGAGCTGCCCAGAAACACCCCGGTGCCTCCCAGCCGCTGGTCCTGGCTCGGGGGGCTGCCCTGGCATGCTGATGGGATCCAGGGATGGGGAAAAGGAAAACACAAGGAAGTGCCAAATCTTTTTTTTTTTTTTTTAAATTGTAATATTCCAGTGGTTTGAACTCTGTTTTGAAATCGGAGGCCCAGGTTCAACTCCCTCTTTGACGCAGCAGTGCCGGCATCACATTTTCCACCCCCCGAAAGACTCTTTCCTCCCCTCCCACCTCTCCTTCGGGCAACGGGCTGCACTGGACAGAAGCTCCTCCTGCCTCGTGTCAAAGCCGTGCCTCCGTGCCCTAGGACAGTGGGAATGCATAGAAGGAAAGGCTCACCCTGTGGTCAGGGCATTCACCTGGGATGTAGCACCAGGACCCCCAACCTCACTGAGCTCCCTAACCAGGTGGTCCTTGCTCTCCACCGCAATGACCCTTGGCCCCACGGCTGCATGCAGGCACAGACGGGAAAGCCGGCCACCATCGAGCACCAGACTTGCCCAGGGCTGGGTTGGAAAGCGGGGGGAAGAAAGGCCATGGTTAGTCCCTGCAGCCTGGGAGGGTGTTGAGCGACACAGCCCAACCCCTCCGGTGCACAGCACAAGAGGAGCGGCTGTACAAGAAATGTGTGGATCTTGTTCAGGTTGTTTTGACCTAGTGTTTTAGAGGTGTGTGCCCCCAGGGAAGGGTGACCCTGCAACACCAGTGAGCAGAGAGAGGTTCATCCCCAGAGGATGGGGAGACGGGCAGTGTTTCAGACCCTTTTCCTTTCTTCTGGTTTTAGAGAAGGAGTGAACACATGTGAACTCACGTGGTGGACTTCACTGGTTACGGTTATGCCCGAGTGTCAGGGGGACAGCCAAAGCCCGGCATCCCCTTAATGCCCTGTGGGATCACAAAAATCACAGACTGATTCAGATGGAGAGGGACATGAAGCACCCAGCCTAATGAAGGTGGGAAGGTTTCTGGTCCAACATCCCACTCAAAGCAGGGCCAAGCTTTCAGCTGGATCCAACTTTATATTAGATGCTCAGGGCTCTGAGCAGCCACATTTTGAGTATGAGATTTCTCCATCTCTCTGGCCTCCTGTTCCAGTGTTTGACCACCCTTGGGTGCAAAATGTTTCCTAATACCTACTCCAAATTTGTCTTGTTGCAACATGTGCCCATTGACCCTTGTCCTTTCACTGTGCACCTCTGAAGAGAGCAATGAGACCCTTCTAGCTGTCATACCTCCAAGCTGAAGGAGCCCTCTCAGCCTCTCCTCCCCTGCCACAGGCTCCAGACCTCTGATCATTTTGGTGGCTCCCATATGGCCATGTCTTTGTTGCAATGGTGAGCCCAAAAACCGGGCACAGTGCTCCAGGTGTGGTCCCGTAAGTGCCGAATTGAGGGCAACCATCTTTTCTCTTGACTTGCTGACTACAATCTTCCCAGTAAAACCCAGTACACAGCGTGTCTCCATCACAGCGAGGGTGCACTGGTGACTCGTGTTCAACCTGATGGGCCCCAGGTCCTTTTCTGCAAATCTACTGCACCCAGTGTTCCCAAATTTTGCACAAACATCCCCGAAGTTGTGCCTGCTCCCCATGATGACACGCAGAAAAGTTACTTTAGAAATGCCTTAGAGTTGCAAAAAGATGGTCTTGAGCTCACTTCTTTTAAGCAGAAAATTCAAGTGCCTCAATTACTTGCAGTGCAATCATCCAGAATTCAGAGGCACAGAAAAAAACAAGTGCTGTAATCTAAAAACACCCAAAAATAACTTCGAGCATTGGAAAAAAGCACACAGCTGATGACCAGACCTGGCTGTCTTCCAGGGCTATAGGATGGAGTTGTGAATCAGAGCTGTGAATCACTGATTCAACAGCAAGCAGCCTGCCCTGCCCTGCCCTGCTCCCCCTGCCTGGGGCGGGCAGACCTCAGCCCCCCTCCCTTGCAGCACTGCTCCCTGCTCGGCTCCAGCCTTGGGCGCTTCTGCGGGGAGGCTGCCCTGAACCGGAGGGCTGGTTCCTATGGAAGTGACTCCAAGGACTCACTGTTTTTAATACAAATGCCATTGACTCAGTAGGTTTTTTTCTAAAAACCCATCCCCCATAGGATAGATTTTTTTTTTTTTCTCTGTTCAATTCTACTCCACACTTCAAAGCTCAGAAAAGAGCTGGCTTTCGTTTTTGGGAACACTTCCAGCACAGCTAGGACTGGAGGGAAGGAAGCAAACCCACGTTTGAGACAAACCCAGGGATGCAGCATCTTAGGGGGCTCAGGGCATGGTGGACTTGGAGCACGGGACGGGGGTTGCGCCAGCAGAGGCACATACAGCCGGTGCACGGCCTGCAAAGACCTTCATTAAACCTGGCTACACGGAAATCGGAGAATGCC